AATTTTCAAAATTCTAATTTTAGGAATTGTTAGTTATCAACATACTACACGAATACTTGTCAAAAATAATAATGTTAACAGTGACCGTCGTGATAACCAACGGTTACTGTCGACAGAAAATGAACTATTTCAAATGTGTTCGTCAAAATTCAAGAATACAGGGAAATGCTTACCTTCTTAATTCACCAAAACCTAAATTATGAAAGTCTTTCAACAAACCAACAAGTCTTGTCCTTCTTGTCGTTGACGTTCATATGGTTCAAAATATATCATTTTGATTTCTAGAATAATTCCTTTCGTGGCAGAAGATGCACTAGATATTGAGGGAAAGAAAGAAGACATGGATTACCCTCAGCAGCGAGTTATAGACACAGATGCCTCCCCCTTCAAACATCATAATCATTTTTCTCCGCCTGTGAAAACAGAAGGTTTCGTCTGATATTTGGATATTCTGAAGAGTTTGAACATAAAGTTTTTCATTTCAGGCGGTTTTGTGCCGAAAGACCCACTAATTTTGGATGAGTTTTACGAAAATGCAGTTACACCATCTTCGGTATCCGACGACAATAAATCGATAGGTGAGTGGAAGTTCTCCCTAATTTTAATTTTAGTATTCAGGAGAGATAACATGGATTAGAACAAACCCACGACCTCGATACTTCGATGAAAAAATATCGATCTTTCGAAAAAATTGGTAAAAACCCAAGTTATAGAATATTCCATTTCAAACAACTTCATTCATCATGAATGTTTTTGGTAAAATTGAGAATAAACGAGTTATTCAATAAACAAAAATCTATTGTTGTATTAAACATGGCGGATGATGCAATGGTTATGTAAAGTAAAGTAAAGTGAACTTTATTGATTACGAATAAATAACAGGAGTAGCCTGCCAAATTTGAGAGATATCACAAGGTGGAGAGTAACAGTACACATATACATGTAGAGATTAAAAAATTACGTATAAATATAAATAGTTTTTCATTATTTATCGGGTTTAGAAAAAATAGCGTATGCAACTCTCATGTAATGGTTATTAATATACTCGCATATACCATACAAAACTCGCCTTCGGCTCGTTTCTTATCCCGGTTAATGCTCGTGTCTTAATAACCATCATTACATGATCGTTGCATATTATACTATTTTCTATTGACTAGAAGCATTGTTCAGTCAATTTCTTTTCTTAAGGAGATACATGCTGAGCTTTATCAGGCCTCCACTGAGTTTATTGTGAAACTTTAAGTTGGGAGAGTTGGAAGACGATATTTTCAGTTGGCCTATTTGGCCTCACCTATCTATTATTTCGGGTGGGATGGTTGCGGAAGTCTGAGTTCAACTTTAGATACCTCCTATTTCTGTGCAATTCAATAAGGGTTTAATATAGATAGATGCAAAGAAGTGACATTAATTGGTTTCTGATGAAAAGTGGCCTACAAGGTTGGTCATAACGCGTAGCTTCAATTATTGTCAATGCCCTCTTTGCAACTTGAATACTCTTGATGCCTGACTAGCTTATATTCGAATGAAAGAGAACGAGGTATTTAGTCATAAGTACATCTTTGTGCTGATGACTAATGACAGTTTACGCAGTAAAAATAGGTGGCTATACTGCAAAGATGGTTTATATGGTTAGCTGGCTAGACAGTTCATTGCAAACATGGTTTATGTAGCTAGTCCACTTCAATCCATCATCGAGAGTTATCCCCAGAAGTTTAACAGTGGATCCATTCGAAATGTTTTTATTAGAGGAGAATATGATTTGCTGGGTCTTATCATTGTTCATTTTTAGTTTATTTGTCGTGAACCACAGTCCGGCTTTAGATGCAGTAGTCACCATTTGTTCATTGAGTACAAATAGACTATGGTGCGAATCAATTAACAAAGTGTCATCAGCAAAAGCAATACACATGTCCGTCAACAAGTAATGGAATAGGTCATTGGCAAAAATGGTGAACAACAGTGGCCCAAGGACGGATCCTTGTGGCATGCCATTACCAGTATGAGCCTGTAGCGAAGTAGTTCTGATGACCGATACCTTCCATTTGTTGACGGTTGGTCGAATAGGACCTTGCGAGGTTCATTGGAATTCCCCTTAAACCATAGTGCTCGAGCTTTGCTGTCAGCAGCTCATGGGAGACACTATCAAACGCCTTATGGAATGGTACCCCAGGGACTGCCAGTACTGCCTCCCCCAAAAAGTTCCGAAATAAAATGACCAATAAAAATATTTGCTAAGCTGACCCCGATTTTTGATTCCAGATGCATATCTTTCTATCATAATCTCAACTTTCTCCACCTCCACCCCTTGGTAATTATCACTCGTAGAATTTGAATAGGAAAAATAATAAGTTTGACATATCAATGAAAAGGTAATTTTATAAAGAATTTCTATTATGACTGTTCACTACGTTACTTTTCATTTTGCGCCCTCGTATGGGAAGAACAACTGTTCCGTATTTCAAATTATTATATTTCATTTGATAGATAATGTGAACAAGCCATGAAAAAACTACAGAATAAAAAAAAGAACATTTTTCGTAGTCAGTGCCGCACACTGTACATATAGAAGATGCATGCATCAATATGGGTATAAGTACAGGCCGTTTCAGATACCCATGAGGTAACATTGCTATATTTTGTACTGTAACAGATATAAAGACAGAAATATGAAAACAACAAAATGGTAAATGAAAATGTACAGGGACTTTCGTGGTTCTGAAATTATACAGGAAAAACTACAAGTGCTGTTTTTGTATTTTTACGAATAGAATTGTTATTTCAGAAAATATATAAAAGGGAAAAGGAAAGTTTCGTTAGGAAAGAACGGTTTCGGCTTTCTACTTGGCCATTTCAATACAAAAAATGAAAGAAAGCAATCAATCAAGAAAAAGCCCCTTAGTAACAGTTACTTTCATAATAATATTGAATTACACGGAAGAAAAATACTTTCAAAACAACTTCTTTTATATGCACACCGAATTTTACAAAGAAACTGTTCTTTTGTTCCTTCATTCAGTTTGTTTCCAAACATTCGTTATGGTTTTGAATCAGACATCATTCACAGGAACACAATATATTGAATGATAAAGTTGAAATTTCATTTACATGGAACACTGTCATCCTCACCAGTGGAAACTTTCTTTCCTGAAACAATAATCAATTTAACCCTTCGGTAGACGCAGTAACATTTTACACAGCAATAGTCGCACACGGTCCGCAAGACCAGTTGAATAATATATATTTATTGAATAATTTTTTCGAATTTTTCAATTAATATTGTTTTATCATCATTTTTTCCACAACATTTTTCTGTTACTATTCAACAGTTCATTTAGATATTGATTGCCTGCAAAAGTAGAAAAATAATCGACTTTTTGATCACTATTTATTTTATTCCTACGACATAATTTTCAGAAAAAAAACGAACATATAATTCTGAAATATACTGAAATCGACACCAATAGAAAATGATTCAACT